GAAGCCTGTTTCAAGCTAGATGCTATTGGATCAGCCTTTTCTCTTCCACCACCAATTTTGAACTTTTCATTTTGTATTGATGTGACTTCAGGCAAAATAATGTATCTTGAGTTGTTTTAACTAAATTTTTATAGGACTAATTTATTTATTTATGATGTCAAGGCTTGGGCGGGGCGGGCTCAACAGGGCGGGCGGGCGGAGGGAGCGGTTATGGCCCCTCTCAGTCCCGTTCCCAGAGGCTCTGCTTCTCAGAACCCCCGGAACCGCTGCAAACCTCGGAGGGAAAGCTGCCTTCCAACTGATGCCAGACACTCCCGCTTCTCCCGTTTGGGTCCGAGTCCCCAGCGATTCGCCCGTATCTGGAGCTCAGAGTCTGAGACTCCCCCCTGACCGAAAACGACAACCGCGCTCTCAGCCACCAGCCCGCTTTGCGCGCGCACCTCCGCACCTGAGTTTTTTCCACACTGCGCCTCCTCTGAGCCTCGGTGTGCTGTTATTTTTCCTTCTAGTTGAAGAGTCTCTCCTCAGCCAGCCTTCCTGTGGTTCTGGGTGATGTCCGTTCCGTCTTTTAGTTGTATTTTTGAAGTGGTTGTTTGCGGCAGCAGTCTGCGGTGTTTACCTATGCCGCCATCTTGGTCTCCTATAGGACTAATTTAGATTTAAAGGATGTCAAGATACTTCACTGTAATAAGCCATCCAATACATTGTGTAAGAAAAAGTTAACACTGAGCTATATGTTTAGAAATGGTTAAGATGGTAAATTTTATGTTATGTAGTTTTCCACAATAAAAATTTGAGGGGAAAGTGTAAAACATCACACTCAATTGAACAGTTGGTAAATCTTGATTTGCTTAAACTTATATAATTCAGGTTGGGGCAAAAGTAGCTTTACAGTTATTCATATGGGAAATAGCACAATACTTAATAAGTAATAACACAAGAATAAACTGTTTTGAGTACTCACAACTGTAAACCTACTTTTGTCCCACCCTGTACTTGTTTATACAATTTGAGGTACATAATATCTTGGCTAGTCTTTGAATTCTTCCCATTTCGAGCCTTTTCTTATTTGTTAAATGGGGAGGGCAATTACCTATCTATATGTTTGAAAATTCTAGATTTACTTTACTTGTAAATAAAGTGTTCCCTTATGACTCTATTCTCCCTTCAATACTATTAATACCATTATTTGAAGAACCATGTATCTAAGTCCCATTAATTCTTAAAACTTGTAAATGAAATATTTAGCTTCTTGGCTATGCAAACAACTATAAGGATGATAGATACAGAGATGAGGAAATAGAAATCAAATCAGTTGCAAACAGTAAATTTGCAGTTCTAAATGGAACTTACTGATATAAAAATGGTAACACATTTAAGATTCTATATATTGGGTTGCTCTATAAGTCTGCTTTATTGGAAGGCTATTTAAAATAAACCCATAAACCCTTTAAAGCGACATTTATGAAGTTTTTTGGTAAGTATATATGTTTCAACCTGAGAAAAGCAGAGGAGTCCTAGCAAGGATGCCTTGGCCATCTCTATGAATTGTGAACAATTAAAAAAGAATAAACATTATTGTACAGTAAACTTCATTATCATTATAAATTCAAATTGCAAGCACTTACACAATGTACATATATTTCTTGTAAATACTAGTATTGTTAAAAATAATTATCTTCCCCACATTTGAATTTTATAAACAAACTAGAGGCCTGATGCACAAAATTCATGCACTTGGAGGGGGGTCCCTCAGCTTGGATTGCGAGAGGGTGCAGGCCAGGCTGAGGGACCACACCAGCACACGATTGGGGCTGGTGAGGGACATGGGAGGTTGGCCAGCCAGAAAGGGACCATGGCAGGGCTCCAGGGCATGTCCGGTCTGTCTCACTCAGACCCCAGCAGCAAGCTAACCTACTGGTCAGAGTGTCTGTCCCCTGGTGGTCAGTGCACGTCATAGCGAGCAGTTGAGTGGCCTTAGCATACCATTAGCATATTACGCTTTGATTGGTTGAACAGCAGACCAGCTGACCAGACACTTAGCATATTTGGCTTTTATTATATAGGATAAAGGGAATACAACCTAAAATCAGTGAAAGTTTCCAACTAAGGCTGGAACAATTGAGAATTATGTCTCTTTGCGTTTAACTTTTGTGACAAAGTATGGACTCCTCCATGTGAAAGCACTTTTAGCTTTAGCATTACTTATCAGCATCAGGGGTGCAGTGGACTTCGTTCTATTCACGTTAATGGTTCCAGCCATTTTTACTGCCTTTTGGGTCTCCTCTCTGCTTAGTTTCTGAGTTTTGCTCCTTTTTGTTTTAGTTCTCAAGGCAGAATTTTTCTTTCTCTCCCCTACCCCCTCTTTTGGCCTCTGCAATTCACTGATTGCTTTACCACCCCTTTCACTATCTACTTCCTTCTTCCTTTGGGCTGGAAGGTGCACATAGCCAAAGTCACAGATGACCTCTTATGTGCATGGTCCAGTCTCCTTAGAATGAGCCAGGTGACTTTTTCCCTGTCCACTGAGCTACATTCAGTACCATCATCATCCCTCTTACCTTCAAGCCCATTGTTTAGGCTACCTATGAATTGTAACTTCTTTATTTTGTCTTTGAATCACTAGTATCTATTTCAAAATTAGTTTATAATATTATTTGATGTAAGGAGAATCTTTTTAAAAATATATATATTTTTATTGAATTCAGAGACAAAGAGAGAGAGAGATAGAAATATCAATGATGAGAAAATCATTGATCAACTGCCTCCTACACTCCCCATACCAGGGATTGAGCCTGCAACCCGGGCATGTGCCCTGACCGGGAATCCAACCATGACCTGTTTCATAGGTCGATGCTCAACCACTGAGCCATGCAGGCCGGGCAGGAGATTCTTAGTTTTAAAATATATATGCTAGGTTATATTTTTGTTGGCTCTGCCATTCCTAGCCCCAAATATTTCTGTCAGGTTTTACTTAACATGTCTTTGGAAAAAAGAAACATATGCTGTAAGTTTGCAAGGTGGACCATACTCAGTCCTTTTTGTGTCTTTGTATGCATGTCCTCCTTAGGGCAAAGGCATCTGTATTGCACAAGTCTGTTCACATTTTATGGTGAACTCAGAATGTCATTTAGGGACAGGAGCATTGAATGAATCATAAAAAAAAGGGGGGCTAAGTATTGTAGACATGATGATTGCTCCTCAGTAAGTACAGGTGAAACTCTCCCCTCCTACAGTGGAACTTGGTATATAGTTTTCTTTGTATTCTGAACCAGAGACCTTCAAAGATGAAAAAGAAAATACTAGTAGAGGTTCAAAGTTAAAGTTACAGCAATGCTTCTCAAACTCTCTGTTGTAGAGGTGAGGTCACCATTCTTCTATAAAATTAAGTACTAGAAAATGAAAAAGCAAACCAATGAAATACACCCGCTTTTTATTATTGCATTCATCTGATGAAATTAGTGTGTCACATTGACTTACAAGTTTCTAAACACTCACTGTCACTATGTTGTCCCAGTCCAACAATGACTTGGACCCCAGCATCAGTGGGGAGACTACACTTTCACAGCCCTGATTTCAGGGCATTCCACACATACCAGACAGGAAGTGCTACTTTCAAACAGAAACTCAGTGAACGTTTTGGAATGATTGCTTTACTTGAATTTAGAGGGGAAAAAGAAATGAGAAATCTATCAATGAATGACCTGAAGACTAAATGAAGCATGTAAACACTTATCAAAGATTCTTAGTAGAAAGTAAACATAGTAAATGCTTGCTATGTCATAATGTGATTGAAGGCAAAACCCACAACTTTTAAAGAATTGGTGAATTTTAATTAAAAAGGTATGAAGTTCTCTTCCTATGAAATATTCTTCACTGAGAAAATGGCTTCCCCCACCCCCAACTCGGTCTGATTGTAAGTAAACATCTTAAGAAACACTGAGTCAGAATCTTTCCTATGCTATTGTAGGTTGCTGCTTTTTTTTTTCCCCCTGCACACTGCTAATTGCTTTTGATACCTAATTTTTGGAATGCAGTTTCTTTCACATTTATGGATTCCAGGTTCTACAGAGGCTTTGAGCTACACCTCTGTGCTAAGAAAGCACTACAGGAGATAGGCAGTCAATTGGGATTAGAATTCAATGTGTCAGCTATTTCAGAAATCCCAGTACAGAATTTAGCACTCCTGGTCAACAGATACTCTCCAGGGAACGTGGCCTCCAAAAATCAATTATTGGGTTATAACCATCTAACCCAAGATTGGGTTTGATGGTGGTTGTTTTTATTTCCTATTACCAATAGAGTTATATTCATTTTATAAGCATAAATGATAAAAAAGTTATTTTTTAAAATATTAGTTTTGTTGAATGATTTTTTTAAAAATATATTTTATTGATTTTCCACAGAGAGGAAGGGAGAGAGATAGAGAGTCAGAAACATCAATGAGAGAGAAACATCGACCAGCTGCCTCCTGCACATCTCCCACTGGAGATGTGCCCGCAACCCAGGTACATGCCCCTGACCGGAATCGAACCTGGGACCTTTCAGTCCGCAGGCCGACGCTCTATCCACTGAGCCAAACTGGTTTCGGCTTTGTTGAATGATTTTGCATTCTACAGAGTTACTTTTCAAGATATTTGAATTGGAAAAGCTGAAATCGCTATAAAGGAATGTAGTGTCTTAAGATTTTCAGAATAAAATGAAATATCCACCCATTTAAGACATTCATTTAACTCAGATGTTTAAAATATTAAGAAAATAAATAAATTCCCTTGGCAAATGTCTTGTGTGATGAAATTGCATGGAAGTATTGGGTGAAAGGTAAGTGATGCCTTTGGATGCCCTCCCTGTTAAGAAGAAATCCAGGGGCAGATTGTCTTCATGCTGCACATCAAAAGTTGTAACATTGGAAGATTCATTGTGACAGATAATAGAAAGCAGACAATAGAGTTTAAATGGTTTATACTTTTATACTTCTATGTTGTGTTCCTATCTTACAGACTTTTATAGTATTGAATAAAGGGAAGGCCATCTTCCGGTTCAGTGCCACCTCTGCCCTGTACATTTTAACTCCCTTCAATCCTCTTAGGAAAATAGCTATTAAGATTTTGGTACATTCATATCCTTTTCAAGTAATCAATATTAACTATTTGTACATAATCTATAAGTGCTTTGTAGCTAAATATAAAATTAAGTTGGGACACATATATATTTTATGGCTTTTGTCACTCTAATTTTATATCTACTTTTGTCATATAAGCCTTATTCTTTTTTTATAAGCTTTATTCTTGGAGTGTATTAGTCACATAGATGTCACTGAAACTTACAGTTTTAACATTATATATCTACATATATCTTTCTAATAATACTTGTATGTGTTAAGTCCTACAAATCTAGTGTAAGATAGCTATACTACTCTTTACTACATTTGTACACAGTTTGTAATGACCAGGGATATGCAGCAAAGAATGATATAACAAGGAAATCTAATTCCATAGCCAAGTTTAGACATATCTATAATAAAGAGCAGTTTTGTTTACCTTAAAATAAACCTTTAAGCATATTTTCTATGAAAGATGGTCAGAGGGCTTGACTAATACTTAGTTAATTATTGAACTTTCCTAATGAATTCTGTGAAGGAATTACAGTAGTATTGGCTGAATTTCCAATTTAAGTCATTAAATTATTACTACCAAGCAAAACTGATTGCTTAGTAAAGACTACAGAAGTTAATGAAAGAAGCTTAGATTATATTTCCAAATGGTCTTTAGGAATGTGGCAATGTGGTTCCCATGGTGTTAAAGAAAAAGAAGGACTTTGCAAATAACTTCATCTGTTCATATTCATTGGCAAAAACTTAATTTTTGATTATGTCTCATTCGATGGCTTTGGCAATAAGAAAAATAGAAATACTTGTATAATGATCATAAACTCATACAACCTGGTCCTTTAAAAAATTATAAAACTTAAAAGACCATTCTATTTTTAACTGATAACAAGAAAATCCTCAGTGATATAAATATGTTATTATTAAAATGAAAAGATTTGAAATATTAAAATCATATTTCAGCATTTTTACGGGTATGGTTTCCATATCCTAGTTTTTGTTTCTAGTGCCATCATGTGGTCATTTGATGAAAACTTTCTTTTTCTTATGGAAAATTTTTGTTTTGGCAATAAACTGTAGTAGAGAGCATATTGAATATGAAGGCAGAAAATTTGTGTTCTAGTCCTCGGCTGAGTTATCTAATTTCTCTATGTTTTAGGCCTTATTTGCCTGATGTCTAAAATAGAGCGATTACAATATTTGTTTTTCCTAGGTTCCTTTTAGTCATTTGTTTTAGCTAATACTTATCATATCACACACATTAACTCATTTAATCTGCACCTCAAACTGAGACTGAGTGACTTGCCCAAGACCACTTTTAGACTAAATTTTAATTATATTCACATCATGTTAAGTCCTGGCCTTCAAGAATATTCACTTTTAATCATATCCATGGCTACTATAGTTAATTAAGTCAAAACAGAGCAACCCAACACCTGGCACCATGCTGTACTTTGTACATAAATTTTTTAAATATATTTTTTATTGATTTTTTACAGAGAGGAGGAGAGAGGGATAGAGAGTTAGAAACATCAATGAGAGAGAAACATCAATCAGCTGCCTCCTGCACACCCCCTACTGGGGATGTGCCCGCAACCAAGGTACATGCCCTTGACCGGAATCGAACCTGGGACCTTTCAGTCGACAGGCCGACACTCTATCCACTGAGCCAAACCAGTTAGGGCTGTACATAAATTTTTAAATGTGTTGAACTATATTAAGTAATATTTGTTTCAGAAATTACAATATTGCAGATATGTGCCCTCTTCAACAACTTACTATTTTTATCACCTGAAACAGTTTAAGTCAGTCTCTCTGCTCAAAAACTGTATGACTCCAGATTGCACATAGCTTTCCCTTTAAAGTTTTCTAGGGGGTAAATATGTTGATTTAGTAATAGTAGCAAAAGCAACACTTTGTCCTTATATAAAGCTTTCTTGTACATTATCTCATTTAATATATATCGCTACTCTGTGAGGGTGATATTATTGCTACATTTTACCAATGACAAAACTGAAATTTAAAGAGATTAGATAACTTGTTCATGGTGTATTTTTCATGATTCCTGGCTAAAATTCAGTTTAAGCTTTTCAATGTTAGTTTTATATAATACATAGATTTGGATTTTTGTGTGTGTGTTCCTTAACAATAACCCACATTATTCAGCATGCTAATTATGTGCACTATTTTGACCAACTGTGTGTTTATGACCATGAGTAACCCTCCTGAATGGACAAAGAATGTAGAGTAAGTTCAACTTATATTTTAAACCACCTACTATGTGACTATATATGTATGTTAGGTAGAGAGATATAAATATATACATTTAGACATATCAATATACATATATAGTTAGGATTTTGAAACTATATCTTAATGTACCTTCTAAATAAACCCAAAGAGCATAATTACTAAAGGCATTTCTAGGCACAATTACAAAGCAGGAAGACCATACCCATTGACCCGTAGGCCTGCTAGGGTTGGGTCTAATATCTCTCCTTCACGTGTACTTGGTGGATACCAGGAGCCCATCATTCTTGGACACATCACTTTTCCTTTAGGATCTACAGTGGTCAAAGCAAGTGTGGTGAAAACAATTGCAAAAAAGAGCCAGTATAGTAGGACTTGGTCCCAGGTAAATTTCAGATGAATTCAGTGAGTTACAAATTTACAGGGGCGGGTTACACATGCCATCAGAAGACATTGTTGAGTCTCACAAGTTTTCCCTTCCATCAGGCACATCCTATTCAGGTCAGGCCTGTATCAGTTTCACCAAAAAAATTGCAGAAAAAATATCCCAACAGTTGGGATTTTAAAACTTGAAAATTCCATAGACTACGGACTTAACTAACTGAGGTGAAAGAATAGCATTTTCAGAAAACAGAAACATTACTAACTACATTTGTGGGCTCTGTTCTGGAATACATTTGAGAGCAGAGGGTCCAGATCTGTGATAGGTGCTCATTCTGCCCATGTTGTGACCACTATTACTCCATGGCTGTTGACCCTTAAAACAACAGCCCAGAACTATTCCCAAGATCTTCTTCAGTTCTAGACAGCTCCAGATGGGAGCCAATCAGAAAAGGGACAAGATTATGAAGGAAAAACTATATACAAAGAATACCTAAAGTATTGACATTGACTTGTGAGGCCCACAGGTCTTTAGTCATCCTAGTTTTTGTGATTTTATTCTTCAACTTCTGAGTAAAAGATTTAAACCTTGGAAACATCCAAGTTTCTGAGTTAGCCTCATATTTCATTCTAAATTTTGACTCTAGAATTATCTACTTTGTTGTTAACAAAATTCTTTTTGCAAGTAAGTTAACCTGTCTTATCTTATGGAAAGAGAGAAATAAAGACTTGCTAATTTGTCAATGTTTTTCATTCATAAAACATGATGGAAATTGAGTTTTTTACTTTCGGAAAGAAAATCATTTTATGCTTCTGCAATATTATGGATTGGCCACCCCATCACATGAATGTACTAGATAATTCTCAGGGGGCTTTATTTATTAATGTCAATACTAAGACATTTCAGACAGCACCTAGCTGGGCTTTATACAACATGTATTTCTCACTCTGCTCTCAGGACACGCTTCATGTGTTAGGGAATTGAATTTAAATTAAGGGCTATGTTTCATTTCCATGAAAATAATATCAACCTGCTTAGATTCCTTTTATAATAATTCATCTATTCCACTGACATGGTGATAAGAAATTGACTTATTATGAAAAATATATTACTTTATCAATTCTTTCTGGATACTTATCTCCAGGTACACCTTCACTGGAATATATACTTTTGAATCACTTATAAAAATTATTGCCAGGGGCTTCTGTTTAGAGGATTTCACTTTCCTTCGGGACCCATGGAACTGGCTCGACTTTACAGTCATTACATTTGCGTAAGTGCCTTTTTTGAAACTTCAAAAGAGTGTGGTTTGGCTTTCTATGAGTGTTTATGCTTTGAAAGAATAAGCTTGTTGTAACTGTAGAATATTTTGGTGTGATTTATACATTTAAGCTTTGGATTTTAATTTAGTATAACAGAGGTCAAACTGACATTTCACTTTGGCATATAAAGTCTTTGCATTGGTTGAAATTACAATTTTCACATGTAATAAACATCTAGCAAATTTCAACACATGCTGCTTTTTCAACACACACATGTACACACTAATAAGAAAGCAAAAGTTTATTCATTTTACATCGGTGAAAATGACTTTTAAAAAATACAGGCACAAACAACTCTGCTGGCTGCACCAATTTTCATTGACCTTACCCATTGACTTTTCCATCTTCTATTAGTTTGGTAAAATAATCTATACTAATAATAGAGGAATATGAAAATTGTCCTGGACGCCATCATGTAACGACCAATCAGGACGGGGGTGGGGCCAAGGCGGAGAGCTCTCAGCATGCCTGCGCCAGGGGTCCAAAGGGCACGGAGAGGAAGGGAGAGTAGATAGGCAGTTAGGGGGATCAAGTCAGGAGGGGACAGAAGATAGGCAGTTAGGGGGATCAGGCCAGGAGGGGAGGGCAGTTAGGGGGATCAGGCTGGCAGGAGGGAGCAGTTAGGCAGTTAGGGTGATCAGGCCAGGAGGGGAAAGCAGTTAGGGCCATCAGACCGGCAGGGGAGCAGTTAGGGTCATCAGGCAGGCAGGCAGGTGAGTGGTTAGGAGCCAGTGGTTCCAGATTGCAAGAAGGATCCCATATAGGAGAAGGTGCAGGCCAGGCTGAGGGACCCCTTGCCCCGCCCCCATGCATAAATTTTGTGCACCGGGCTTCTAGTAGAAAATAAACATCTATTAGCATCAAAACATTCCAAATCAAACTAAGGGGGGGGGAGAATAAGGTATTTAATATATTAAATTTTTATTTCATCAACAAATAATTTTAAGTCTTAGAAATGGACATACTCTCTCTGCCACTTCCTACTTCTAAACTGATTTCTTTTCTTTCTTATTTCCCTTTATGATTTTTGTCATCTCTCTCTTCACCCTCAACATAAATCTTTTATCCTTACCTCCCTCCCAGATACACTCAGTATGTGCACAATATCTGCATCCCTGTCTACCCCCCCCACACACACCTTTTTGTTCAAGTGGTAAATTTCCCCAAGAGAGAAGAAACTCAGAAAAGTAATAGAAGGTCATACAGGAGCAGGTGAAATTAGAATGTGGAGGAAAGTGGACCTGTACCACTTGCCCTCATCATTCTTTCTGGAGCGAACTTTTTAGCCTTTACAGGTATAGATAGATGGTAAATGGGAAGAGAAGCAGAGCTGATATTCTCAGGGCTCCAAACACTGCCTCTCTTGTCTTCATTCCACATCTAATCAGGAAGAGCCAATTCTTTGCCATTCCCTCTGGCCATGATTTAAAAGAAGGCATGATGAGACTACTGTTTTTTAGAACAAAATAGCAGCAATGGCAGGAGCATCATTGGGCCCCATAAAATATTGTCCTTAATTTACCTTTCACTTAAAGGTTACACTAGAAAAACTTTGTCATGTACAGCTAGTCAGGCAATCTGCCTTTTCATGCATAAATTTCACTTGCATGATTGTATGCATTTTTTTCTAACTGCAACCTTGAAACTATAATTAAGCTTTTTTTTAACTTAAATATCCTAAGTTACTCATGATGTTTATTGCATTTGCTTTTCAAAATGGCAACAGGATTGTGTACTTTATGAAGTTTACATCTAGTTGGTGGCCTTAAATTATGTGAATAAAGAAACCCATAGCAATAGCCTCTAATATTTAAATTGCTATTGACACAATTATCATTCAAAATCACCAAGAATGTCTTCATAAGAGACCCAAGCAAATATATAAAATCCTGCTTAAATTTTGAATAACTCTGATTTAATTCTACAGGTATGTAACAGAATTTGTAAGCCTAGGCAATTTTTCAGCTCTTCCAATTTTCAGAGTCTTGAGAGCTTTGAAAACTATTTCTGTAATCCCAGGTAAGAAGTGGTTAGTGTAAAGTGTAAGGCTCCTTGTACCTACAGCTCTTTCTTTGTATCCTGTCATTGTGTTTGTGTGTGACTCCCTACTACAGATATGTGACAGAGTTTGTGGACCTGGGCAATGTCTCAGCGTTGAGAACATTCAGAGTTCTCCGAGCACTGAAAACAATTTCAGTCATTCCAGGTGAGAGCTGGGTTAAAAGACAACATGTGTTTTTCAGCAACAGCTTCTTTACTTGATATGCAGCATTACAGAAAATCAGAACCATGAAAATCAAAATCATAGTAATCATAATAGGGTGTTTTAAAGAAAAGTATTCTTATTATTGGGACAAAGGTTTTTATGGTCTCACATTTTTTTATTGATTTTTTGTTTTAGAGAGGAAGGGAGAGGGATAGAGAGATAGAAACATCTATTTGCTACTTCCTGCACAACCCCTTGTCGGGGGGCGAGCCCAAACCCAGGCATGTGCCCTGACCAGGAATGAAATCAGTGACCTCTGGGCTCACGGGTCAATACTCAACCACTGAGCCACACCAGTTGGGCTGGTCTCACATTTTTTATCAGCCTTGGAGTTTAACAATTTCTTGCCTGAGACACTGTAATATAGAGTCTGTATGATTTGCACTTAGAGATGTCAATTTTTCTCTATATCAATTGTAAGGATTTGGTCCTTATTGAATGTACCGATCTGTAATTTCTTATTTATTGTAGTCATTGATATCTATGCCAATACAATGTAATCTTAATATTGTTTAAAAAGACCAGGGAAGCCTGGACAGTGTTGCTCAGTAATTGAGCATCAGTTTATGAACCAGGAGGTCACGGTTCCATTCTCTGTCAGGGCACATGCCTGGGTTGTGAGTTCACTCTCCAGGGAGGGGCATGCAGAAGGCAGCCGATCAATGATTCTCTCTCATCATTGATGTTTCTATCTCTCTATCCCTCTTCCTTTCTCTCTGAAATCAATAAAAATATATATATTTTTTAAAAGTCAAGGGAATAAGATAATACAGACTAGCATGAGTCTGCATGGAAAATGTATTATCTTAAGGTGTATTTATACTCCAAACCACCCCCAGTTTTACATCAAAATCTTTGTTACTTATAAGTAGGAATTCAAAAATACTTATTCAGGTAATTTGGTATAAAATTATGGGGCAAGTTTCATTAGCAAAAAGAGAAATACAAGAACCTTTCCCAATATAGGCTTTATGAAGACCATGAATCTTCCCTTATTTTCTCTCCAATATATTGGAACATGGATCTTCATTTCATTGTTTATTTCTGGAGGTCATCTCCATAAGCACCAGCCTACCATCAAGTGTTGCTTTTCCACTAGCATTGGCATCATTTTCAAACTTGTGCATGGAATCTATGTTTTCAAGAAAATTGTAAGGCTTTTATTTTTTCAGACCTTGTAAGTCTTCATGGTAATGGCCTCCTTTCGTTCTTTCAGGCCTGAAGACCATCGTGGGGGCCCTGATCCAGTCTGTGAAGAAGCTCTCAGACGTCATGATCCTGACGGTGTTCTGTCTGAGCGTGTTTGCGCTGATCGGGCTGCAGCTCTTCATGGGCAACCTGCGGAATAAATGTGTACAATGGCCTCCCACCAATTCTTCCCTGGAGGAGCATAGTATAGAGAAGAATATAACTGTGAATTACAATGGCACACTTGTAAATGAAACTGTCATTGAGTTTGACTGGAAATCATATGTTCAAGATTCAAGTAAGAATTACTATTATGTAGATTTATTTTTCATTGTTGATCTGCCTTCCATTTAGGCATAGATATATATTTTTTTAAATGGTTGCATCACGGTTTGTAATCTCTTAATCACCATATCAATGTTTTGCACATACATTTAATTAATTTATTCATAACTATTCTAATTTTGACTCCCAAATGGCATTTTCTGTTGTATCATCATAAGGGATGCTGAAGAATTCAGTTAGAAATTTTCCTAGGATCTTTGGTTGCTGTACATTCTCCTTGTGCTGATTGAGACAATTAAATAACATAAGAATTTCTAAAGCCCTTTTGAACTGTCAAGTACTATCCAAATGTAACCCATAAAACGTTAATTACAGAATGCCTTTTATGTACTAGAAACTGTACAGGATGCTGGGAAATTAATGGTGATTACACATGGCTTCAGGGTGCTTATGTTTTAGTAGGTTATTTTTATTGTCATTTTATGGAAATCAAGTGAGACCTAAAGGCAAACATTACTCTTATACTATATTTGTAGAATAAGAATTAAAAGTAGTATCACATCAAGTAGAAGGGAATTGGAGTCCATTTAAATTTAAAAAAGAGTAATAAAAATGTTAAATGAATCAGTGGATTTATGGGAATTCAGTTTATTTTTATTTCAAGAGTTCAGACAAAATAGTCAAATGTTTAAATAGTCTACTTTAAAGGATGGAAAAATAATTGGCCTAATATTCTTTCACTTTTAAAAGTGACAAGAAAGTAAGTCAAATTTTCTCTTTTATTTAATTTTAGTATCTGCCAGTAGCAATATTTCAAAGGCAGAGAGAGTTAGAACATGATTCATGGGTAACAGGAATGTTCTTTTAGAGAAAAATATTAAATATATGAAACTTTATCTTTAGATGTACTTATCTTAAATTTAGTTATATCTTTATTATTTTAAGGTGATGCTTAGGGAAAATTTTTAGTATTTTAAGGTGATATTTAGGGAAAAATCAAAGAAGGGAAGAAACATTAATGACTGTTTTATAAAAGGTTACTGGTGGTTTGATAATTCTTTTTTTAATATATTTTATTGATTTTTTACAGAGAGGAACTGAGAGGGTTAGAGAGTTAGAAACATCGATGAGAGAGAAACATCGATCAGCTGCCTCCTGCACACTCCCCACTGGGGATGTGCCCGCAACCAAGGTACATGCCCTTGACCAGAATC